CTCCACAGCTCCACCTCTCACTCCTCCACAGCTCCACAGCTCCCCCCCTCACTCCTCCACTCCTCCACCTCTCACTCCTCCACTCCTCCACCTCTCACTCCTCCGCAGCTCCACAGCTCCACCTCTCACTCCTCCACTCCTCCACCTCTCACTCCTCCGCAGCTCCACAGCTCCACCTCTCACTCCTCCACAGCTCCACCTCTCACTCCTCCGCAGCTCCACCTCTCACTCCTCCACAGCTCCACCTCTCACTCCTCCACAGCTCCACCTCTCACTCCTCCGCAGCTCCACCTCTCACTCCTCCACAGGAGCGTGTTGAGGTGAGACTAAAGTGTACAGACACAAAAACAGACACAATGTGAGCAAACAGGAAGTTGTAATAAATAATAACATCAGCTGGTTCTGATGTGATGTCATCGTTCTGTAAAATAAAACCTGGACTGTTGTCAGTTTGTGTCTGTGACCTCATCACATGGAACGTTCCATACTGGACTCTGTGGTGATGTCATTCATCCTGCAGGTAAACAAAGTCAATGACATCACAGTGAAGTTGATGACATCACAGTAAGAAGAAACACTGTGTCATACAGACTGTGAAGAGCTTCAGGGTCATCGTCCTGAGGACTCGTCAGCATCACTGGTAACTTGTGTCCTGACAGTTCTTCACCTCTGCAGATTATAATGACATTTATTTTGTGGTCAGTGTGCTACCGGAAGTGTGTAGTTTGAGACACCTGGTCCTTGATCAGGAGTTTGGACTCACCTGTTCCAATAACACAGGTGTTGTTATATCCAGCTGGTTAAATTATATTCTGTTTAAATTCTTCACTCTGGAGCTTTAAATTCAGATTCTTCTTCTTGACGACCTGCTTTGTTTCAGTTTGGTTTTATTTTGACGGTCTGACCGGAAGCGTGCTGTGTCGTCACTGTGTGACTTGACGCCACCGGTCCGGGTCTGACGCACCGCCGCCGAGCGGAGCACAGAGACCCACCGAGCCCCGTACAGCGGCTGCATTGTTTCCCCGGAGGCTGACACAGCAGCGGAGCCGGTCCTCTGGCTCTCCCGTCTGAATGTACCGGCGGCCGGTCACCGTTCATCTGTGTGGACTCACCGACAAACATCCCGCCGCGGAGGGCGACCGGTCAGATTCAGGGCAGAAGAGTCGAACGGTTTAAAATGGCAACCGCAGCCCGCTCCCGGTGCCCGTAGACCGACCATCAGAGTCAGGTAAGGTTTGTTCACCTGGACACGAAGCTAGCTAACGTTAGCTCACAGCGCCGTGATCGTTAACGGGATCTGACGCATATTAAGTTTGAGTCCGTTCACTGGCTGCAGGACGGCGTGCCTTTCTTTGGAAAGAAGGTCAAACCAAACTTCATTCAAATAACCGACAATCGAAACGATCCCGCTGTGTGGGGACGTCAGGCTCCCGTTAGAACCCGCCTGACGGTTGGTTGCACATCGGTGTGTTCCGCAGGTGAATTCGGCGCAGATGTGATTCACCTGGACGCAGGTTACCGGGACAGATTTTAGGAAACATGTCAGAAGTGGTCGCCACCGCCCTCCATGGCAGGTTGTGGGTGGAAAACCCCGGCAGGAGCAGGAGCGGAGGTCCTACCGATACCTCGAGTTTACAGCGTGGCCAAACTAACGCGCAGCGGGTTTACCGGAAGTGTCCGTATAGAAAAGACGGTAACGGTGTTGAACTGATGTTTGTGGACGGTGTGGATGTTGGCCGGTGAATGAGGCCACGTTAAAGTGAATGATTTTTGAATGGGGTTTGGTCGGGCGCTCTGCCTGTGTGTGTGTGTGTGTGTGTGTGTGTGTGTGTGTGGAGGCTGCAGCAGCTGTCACACAGACGCCTCGACACATTTTCACTCTTATATGTGTTTTTTACGGTTATGACGTCACTCACCTGTTTCCCTCTGAGCCTGCGCACTGTGGGTGTCCTAAACTTTACTAACACAACAGTGGAGTAACGGCAACAACACACAAGCCAACAGCCATTTTTCTTTAGCGCCTTTCATTTTTCTATGACGTCATATACACCTGTCTCACCGCAAGACAGGTGTGTTTCCTGGCTGACGACAGGTGTTGTTGGCAGTGTGTGTTTTAAATGTGACAGGTTACAGATCAGTGACCCTGTTCAAACTGTGTAAAGTAATGTAACTATTTTAATGACATCATCAAAGTAACTTATTACTTTTGATTATTTTTCTGACGCGTGCTAAAGTCATCAGTTCATCGTCTAAACGTTGTCTCAGGTTTGTCCACAAAGGTTCCTGCAGGTGAGACGGTGGAAAGTGACAGAGTGAATGTTTACTGATAATAAGATATTTACATGTGAAACTGTAATTTGATTACATTTGTTACCCTCTCCCTTGAATGTGTCTCGTTATAAAGACACAGTTTGCTTATTAAAAAAAGAAAAACTTTTCTGGGTGTAACATGACGTCATTGAGTGAAAACATCAAACGTTTCATTTCATGACATCACACTGATGAGTTATTGTTTCAGCTCCGAACATCACTGTGACCTTCATTATGTTATTTAATTAGATAACTCGGTGACCTGTAACGAGTTCCACTCCAACACTCTGAGATCAGTTGTTTTACAGAGCAGACCCTGAAGGCAACATTCAACAAGCTCAGCAAAAACCATCATTGTTGTGATGTCACTGAGGGGGCGTGGCTATCAACACATGCAGGGACCCCAGGGTCATGGAGAAGCTGCAAGAGTCATTGATTTATTTTGAACTGGGGATGAAGGTGTCGGATCGTTTGCTGATAAATTAACTTTTCCCTCCTGGTTTCAGTGATGATCATCATCAAGTCTCTTCTGTGGTGAATTAACATCATATGACACACACACACACACACACACACATACTGTCATGGTGACGGACACATGAAACACTGATCAGTGTCTAATATTCATTCACTATGCACGATAAGAAAACACATGTCGGCTGATGTCGATGACATCGTCACAATAGTGCTGAGTCATAGAACAACAATATATTCATGTATTTTCAAGCAGGACATAAATTTAGACTCGTTCATATCGATATAGGGTCAAGTTGCGTTCCATAACACGTACCAGTGTGCATGTCTCTGCAGAGCTCCGCCCCCTCACTCATCAACACACACACTCACACACACACACAGCTGCTCCTCTGTTTCATGTCTGTTCATTAGTCTACAGTGACACAGGGGTCTGTGTGCTGCTACGCTACATCAGGCTGAGATTAAGGACGTGTGTGTGTGTGTGTGTGTGTGTGTGTGTGTGTGTGTGTGTGTGTGTGTGTGTGTGTGTGTGAGGTGGATCATCACGCATCGCCATTCTTCTTGGTAGTTGTAGTCTAATGTTTGACACTGAGACGGCGACAGGTCTGTTGAAAAGCACAGAGGTTTCAAATGAGACGTGTAAGAGGAGAAAGCGTCTGACCTGTCCCGTCCATGACCTCACCCTGTGTACACTGACCTCATGGTGGCGCTGTTACTGCCTCTGCTGCCCTGAAGGGGAGACAACTCTGTCCCTTTGTTCAGTGATCAAACCTTTGACACTTAAAGAAGTTTCTTCTTCAACTGAAGTCAGAGCGTCTCCTCAAATCAACACATACGTTCATCTTCTTCTTCTTCTTCTTCTTCTTTGGGCTGCTCCCTTCAGGGGTGGCCACAGCCAATCATCTGCCTCCATCTAACCCTGTCCTCTGCATGTCCTCTCTCACTACATCCATAAATCCTTGGTCTTCCTCTTGGCCTCTCGCCTGGCAGTTCCAACCTCAGCATCCTTCTTCTGATTTATTCACTATCCCTCCTCTGAACATGTCCAATTCTTCTAACATGAGCTGTCCCTCTGATGTCCTCATTCTTGATCCTCTCCATCCTCATCACTCCCAAAGAGAACCTCAACATCTTCATCTCTGCTGCCTCCAGCTCTGCCTCCTGTCCTCTCCTCAGTGCCACTGTCTCTAAACCAACAACATGGCTGCTCTCACCTCTCCTCATTCAAGGAACATTTCAGCCACATTGCTCAGTCTCTGTTTATCACCTCGAATTCATGAAGGCCTCTTTGTTCATCTGCCACGCCTCGACAGGAAACAGCCAACATATTGATTATTGATTGATTGATCGGGGACTTTGTTTACCAACAAACATCTGTTTACAACCTTCTGACTATTTTTTGTTTCTCATATTTAGCTCAGAGATCTGTTTCACCTCCTGATCAGCTGTGAGTCCTGTGGGATGAGGTTGTGGTCATGTGACTGGATGAGGTTGTGGTCATGTGACGGGATGAGGTTATGGTGATGTGACATCAGGGTGTAGTCTTGTTGTCAGACGCTGTAGATGGTGCTGTCCTCTGTGTGGAGACATGAGAGACACACACGTGTCACATGGTGCGTGCAGCTCTGAGTCCGACCCTCATTGTTTCCTGTTGCTACCAGCAGCTCCAGTAGAAACCAGTCAGACCGGTGCAGCCTGTGTGTGTCAGACAGGAAGTGGGACACAGCTGATCAGTGGTTTATTCCTCCCTGCCCCTCCCCCATCATCTGTCTCCTCCCTCCCCCCCTCTGTGTGTCAGGATGTTGACCCCTCCCCCCACCCATCAGACAGCCGTCACCTCACTGTGGTTGTGATGTCACAGTTCAGACTCAGATCTAAGTGAAGCTGATGAACAGACAGTTTACCAACAACGTTTCAGTTCGTACTCTGTGAACAAGAGCATAGGACTGCCTCAGACCACACACACACACACACACACACACACACACACACACACACACACACACACACACTATATTCATGAGGGGGGATCAAGGAGGTTGATTCGACCTTATTGATTACATGACATTATAATACTTGAAGATAATTTGGAATGAAGGGTTTGAATTACTGCATGTGATTATTATCACAGTTTAGGCGAGCAAGAGTAATGCAACAACAACAACAAATAAATAGTCAATGACACAAACATGTGACATCATGTACTCTTCAAATAAGTGAATAAAGCACTGCATAATGTAACAACATTATTTGATGTGGGGGTTTTTGGGGAGTTTTTCCTGATCAGCTGTGAGGGTCATAAGGACAGAGGGATGTCGTATGCTGTAAAGCCCTGTGAGGCAAATTGTGATTTGTGATATTGGGCTTTATAAATAAAATTGATTGATTGATTGATTGATTGATTGATGTGGTTTAAGGCTTCAAGCCTCTGAATAGTGTTCAGATAGACAGAGGGATGCTCTTATTGCCCAGTACATTATATAAGATAAGATAGACTTTATTGTCCCGAAGGAAATTTGTCTTGGATACATGCAGTATCTGCTGTTAAAAAACACAAAAAGTTGACACATACAGTTCCTACATATATACAATCCACAAACAGAGCTGTCACTATTCACAATACATCAGATACCCACCTCAATCACATCTAGTGTACAACATACAGGTGCATCACCATCATTTACAATATCACAATAACTTCAATAGTTTTTGTCACATAAATATATATATATACATATATATATATATATATATAGTTAAATATAGTTTCTACACCAGCTAAGTTCTTGTAACTTCATTGGGTCATGAAACAGCCGCCTGCATAGCGTTAAGTAACGTTATATTTGGGAGCATGGCACTGACTTAATGAGCTCACATCATGCATGATTAGCCAGCAGCTTTCAACCCATTGTGTCTCAGCTAAAGCTTCTAACATTAACGTTACTTAGCAACAACTTCACTTCTTCTTAAACTTTAACTTACAGTCGGCTGCTTGGTAATAAAATAATAAAAACCTGTCATTCACTCCCCTCGTCTGTCAGCTCGCAGTATCGTCTGCTTCCTGTCAACTGAATTCAAGTTTTCCTTGTTCCGCCGACGGTGCACGTCTAGTTTTGCCACACAGAAGCCTTGGCTTCACAGCGGGAAGCCATGGACAACAATGTCACACAGACCGCTGCTGAAAATTATACATTTTGATACAGGTGGCTATAGATATTATAAAACTGTGTAAAAGTACACCAAAGCATACATTTTTGTTTCCTAATATTTATTTGAAAACAATTCATACAGTCAATAAAAAAACATTTTGTTAATAATAAAAAGCAAATGTAATCTCAACAGTGACCGCACCAGTCGGTGGTACTGCGGCTGAACCGCTTCCAGTCTTCATTCATTCATTCATTCAATCACGTGTTCAGTGTGTGTGTGTGTGTGTGTGTGTGTGTGTGTGTGTGTGTTAGTATGTCAGAGAGGAGGAGTATCAATAAAAAAAAGTTTCCACTAATTATTTCGGTGTTTATTTCTTTTATTCTTAAGTTGTTGTTTTTTTTTAAGTGCGTAATATAGCCAACAATATTATAGACCAAAAGTTAATCTAAGTTATTATTGTAGAATGTATTTAACAAATCACTGCTTTCAACAGGAGACACAGTGCAGCAGCAGCTAAAAACAGGCTTTATAAAAAGCCGACAGTTTTTACCACCATGACAAACATCCTTTTGCAAAATCTATTACAATATAACAAAACTGTCAAATTACGTCAAAAGACTAAAATGAAATTAAAAATTCTTGTCAAAATGAACACTGTTCATGAGCGGTGCTGCTCCACATGACAGCGTGTGTCAGATCATGTCAGTAAATTCACCCAACATTTATCCTGTGTAAACATTTGATATGAAACTCAGGCGTGGACAGTTTAACCTCTGAGTCACTCACACTGGCTGCTGGATCACTTTACAATGAAATCCTGAGTCCAGAGGTGGTTTCACCTCCTCACAGCTTCCTTCCTTCCTTCCTTCCTTTCTCCTCATTGTGTTTGTGGGTTTCCTTTCTCCCTGCACACTCGCCTGCAGAGTTTCTACACTGGGATGTCTCACTCTGTCCTGTCTGCAGCACAGAGGACAAAGACACTACACGTTCTGTCCCACCGTCTCTGTCACGTAAACATCAAGTTTTCATATTCAGTCAGAACGAAGATGTCAAGATTTTATCCATAAAGACACGTTTGAGTGAAGAGTGTGTGTCCAGTAGGGACAACGCAGTCTGAGACTTTCACAGTACGATAACAGAAAATATCACAAACTGTCATCAGTCAGTGAAAACAGAAGCTTATTATTGGTTCAAACCTTTTATTACTATAAGTCAAACATTCTGTGAATGAAGTTTGAGTAAAAAGTTTCCTCTCAGAAAATAACTCAGACAAAGGAGAGACTCAGCGTCAAATCGAATATCTTAGATAACAAATGTTCACAGTGTAACCGTCAACATTTATATCAAACCGTTATCATCATCATCATCATCATCATGTAACTATTGGATCCACCTGGAACAGTCGGGTTAAAGGGACTGAGCTCTGCTTCCTGTTCAGACCTGTGAGCCTTTCAGGTCATCTGGGCTTCATGAGATCAGGGTCTGGACCGCTGAGAAGCTTTTACAGCTCAGTGAGACGAAGGTTCTGGTTGTTGCTCCCCCTCAGTATCAAAGTATTGGACCTCTTTCCTCTGCTGCTCACTCAGACCTGTGTAATTTAGGGGTAATGTTTGACCAATCGATGTCATTGATTCCCACCTGTGAGCTCCCGCCCAAATCTTGTTTTAATCACCTAAGAAATCTGATTAAGCTGAGATCTGTTGTTTTACCTGCTGAGCTGGATTCATCTCATCTCACACTGAGTGTGTCTGCTGTTGATTGACTGCTAACGATCCAGAACGCTGCCGTCAGACGAGATCAAACAGACACTCTCACATCACCTGACACTAAAATCTCTGTCTCTGTCTCACTGTTAAAGTTCTGCTGCTGTCACAGTCTCAGTGTCTCTGCTTCTGTGCATGTTATAGCTCTCACGGTGATGTCACACCTCACCTGTCACACCTCACCTGTCACACCTGTCACACCTCACCTGTCACACCTCAAGTGTCACACCTCACCTGTCACACCTCAAGTGTCACACCTCACCTGTCACGCCTCAAGTGTCACACCTCACCTGTCACACCTCAAGTGTCACACCTCACCTGTCACACCTCAAGTGTCACACCTCACCTGTCACGCCTCACCTGTCACACCTCACCTGAACTCAGGTCTGTTTGTGCAGTCTGTACGGTTGGTTTGGGCCGGCGTGACAGCTGTCAGTCGAACCCTGGTGCAGAAACACAGAGTAAACTGTAAAACTAGTCAGTGATCACGTGTGTGTGTGTGTGTGTGTGTGTGTGTGTGTGTGTGTGTGTCTCTCTGATGGCAAACCATCCCATAATTTCACTCTTCTGCATCTGATTTTTGGAACAGTAAATGAAAAACAACCTCCTGCTGCATGCTTAGTGTTCATTTTTATGATCGTTACTACTATAAAAAATTCAGATTCAGATTTGAGGTGTTGTGGTGGATTATATTTCTGCAGGACGTCACAGACTTGAGTTTATAATAATGTCATACTGATGGACAGTGCGTGTGACTGTCTGTCCTCTCTGTCCTCTCCGTCCTCAGCAGCTCCATGTGTCCTCGCTGCGTCTTCTGGCAGCAGATCAGCTGAGCTCTTCCCTGCTTCAGAAGGAGCTGGTCCTGTGGAGGCGTCATGTCGGCAGCTCAGACCCAGAAGGAGAGCGGCGAGGCAGGCTGGGGCTGCCTGGAGGCTCTGGGTCTCAGTCAGAAGGAGCTGGTCCTGGCCGAGGCCCTGCAGATGGAGTACGACGCCCTCTCCAGGCTCAAACAGGACAAGAGTGGCACAGAGACCGGCCAGAGCAGCTCCAGAGCTCCCAGTCAAACCTGCTCCAAGACCCCCAACCCCACCATCGAACGCCCCCGACCGGTCCCCAGCCAGCCCCTCCCTGCCCCCCCAGGAGGAAGCCTGCTTAGGGGCCTCTCTGGATCCGACCCCGCCCTGAACCAGCCTGGAGGGTCACAGTCCCCTCACCCCATCCCAGCCAGGGCGCTCCCTCTTCAGGGAGGCTACATCAAAGAGCCCCTGTACATCTTGGACAGTCCGGAGGTCAGCAAGTTCAGGGACAGCTCAGGTTCCAGCCTCGGGGACTCACCTGGATCGGGGTCAGGGTTTCTGGCCAAAGGCATGCCCTCTCTTCCAGACGACGTCCCCCCAGCCATCCCCCCAAGAAACCCCATCCTCCCATCGTCAGGGTCAGAGAACCCCTTCCTGCCCTCCCGAGTGTCCACCATGCCCCGTGACGTCAACTTGTTCACACCCGACGTGGATCCGCCCAAAGTGACCTCAGGAGAGCTGAACTACGACAACATCAGCGACTCGCTGTCCCGACTCAACGGGGGCCGGCAGGGGCCTCGAGGTCGGAGGGCCAACGGGGACCAATCGGGGAAGCCCGTGGCTCGAAGTAAGACCCTCCCCCCTCAAGTCCCACCCAGGACGTACGTACCTGTTCCCAAGAGCAACAAGAACCAGCGGCGGGTGTCTGCAGACCCGGTAAGAACCTGCTGGTTTATCTGGTCACCGTAACAACCAGATGGTGCTCCTGTTACCTGGGTGATATGCTAATCAGATGACATCACTCTGATGTGTCATGTAACTAAGAGTCTGAAAGTGTGGATGGTGTGAGCATCTCTTTTGTTGTTATGTGCAGGATCATCTCTTCTAAATGAAACATGAATACAAATAATAGTTATGCTTTAACAACTATTAATATAACTACTGTTATGACGACTATAACTACTGATTGGCTGGCTGTGTGTGTGTGTGTGTGTGTGTGTGTGAGACAGGTGTCTCTGGGCTCCAGGATGAACGGCTTTGGATATGAACTGTTCCAGGTGTCTGAGGAGAGAGACGAGGAGGTGGCAGCTTTCTGTCACATGCTGGACATGTGGGTAACACACACACACACACACACACACACACACACACACACACACACACACACAAACACGCACTCACACACACACACCCAGATACTACACCTGTCCTGTCACGTACCTGTGGTGCTGATGATACTCTGTGTATCTGTGCAGCTTGCGTTCGGCGTACCCGCACAGCGACCGCTCGAAGAACTGTGGCTTCGTGTGGTCTCCGTCTGTCGGTGTGGAGGAGCTGCACCAGGGTCTGGGGGTCAGCGTGAAGGTCACTGTCATCAGCGAGCACTTCAGAGAGCCACTCACCTTTACCTGTGATGGTAAGACATGAAGTCACCTGCCTCCGCACTACTACTGACCCGTACTCTAAACAACCGTCCCAGTATGTCATCGCTCCTGAAGTTCACATGATGAGAGAAAATGTTCAAACACAAAGTTCATTCAGAGGAAAGAAATACTGCAGAGAGTAATAATTCATTTATTATGACAGTGGTGTTTATTAAAGTCTTCAAACAATGATGTCGACATCATCATGTTATTATTCTGAGCTTTGATATTTTCACACAGTTGTTTACAAAAATAAAGAGTTTGTTTTTGTAACTTTACCATAAAAAGTCTGTTTCTCAGAAACTGTGTTGAAATATGAAGCTGTATATTTTCTTCAGCACACTGCTTATTAACCTGAGACGTAGTAATGTGTGAGTGATGTCACACGTGTCTCTGTGTCTCTGTATCTCTGTGTCTCTCTGAGGTTCGTCCACGGTGGACCTGCTGATCTATCAGACTCTGTGTTACGCTCAGGACGACCTGGACCACATGGACGTGGACGACTACCTGCTGAAGGTCTGTGGACACGACGAGTTCCTCAACAAGTAAGGACACTGATCACCGTCAAGATATTGATTTATGATTTATTGGTTTGTTTTATCTGAGGGACACTTGTGGACGTCAGCTGCTGGTTGTCCTCATGTGACTCTGATTGAAAACCCCTCAGTGTCTCCAAGACGCTAGTTTCACTTCCTTCAGTCTGTCTGAGAACGTGAGGTGTAAACGCAGTATGTGGCTGAAGACTGCAAGGCTTTTAATCTGAAACAGGAAGTGGAAGTGTTCACTCAGTCACCATCTGTCGCTGATAGTGCTGGAGTTGCTGTTACAGACCAGGAAACAACATGAAGAAGACTGTCTCTCTGTGTCTGTCTGTCTCTCCCTCTGTCTGTCTGTCTGTGTACAGATGGGTCAGGCTGCTGTTCTAAACTGCTGGAGAATAACAGCTGTGTGTGTGTGTGTGTGTGTGTGTGTGTGTGTGTGTGTGTATGTATGTGTGTGTGTGTCCTGTTGGTGGAAGTGTGTGTCATTCTGATAAGCTGCAGCTGTGAGGACGACTGAATTTCCTGCTGTGAAACAATAACTGAATAACTGTCCCTCTGTCTGTCTGTCTTTGTCTGTCCCTCTGTCTGTCCCTTTGTCTGTCTGTCTGTCTGTCCCTCTGTCTGTCTGTCTGTCCCTCTGTCTGTCCCTTTGTCTGTCTGTCTGTCTGTCCCTCTGTCTGTCCCTCTGTCTGTCTGTCTGTCCCTCTGTCTGTCCCTCTGTCTGTCTGTCTGTCCCTCTGTCTCTGTCTGTCTGTCTGTCTGTCTGTCTGTCTGTCCCTCTGTCTCTGTCTGTCCCTCTGTCTGTCTGTCTGTCCCTCTGTCT